GTTGTATTATTATACATATTTAACATTATATATAGTCGTTTAATGTAGTACTGACACTAAAACTCTTTTCACACTTTTTCTCACACAGTCATTTTTATTTTATAGGTGAACTATCCACGATACATAGTTGCATTTTTGTATTGCGATATATTGTGGCACGATATATTGTTACACCCCTAATACAAATATTGAATAATTCCCAACAGACTAAAAAATATAATTACAAAAATCAATGAAAATATTTTCAGCAATTTAATTATCCAAAATAAACGATTACTTTAGAGTTCAATGGCAAATACAAGACAACGTGCATAGCAAGAAAGAATAATGAGCTACGATTCACTCAAACACCTTAAAAACACACACTTCTGCGGCCAAGGAGTTGCAGACAGCCTGGGCTGTAACATGATAAGCACGTCTCTCCCTCAGACATGGCTTTAACAGTTCTGTAATGGCTGTCTTTCCCCTTCTGCCCGCTGCACCCTTCTCTGCTCCACAGCATGAGGGCCTGTTCTTAAAAATCCTACTTTCTTTCTTAAAAAACAAGGCTTGAGAAACAAATAAAATGCGTTATGCTGGGAGGAAACACAGCAAGACACTAAAGTCATCCTTAAGGTATGCGCATGGCTGCCAAAACACAGTCAAGTGATAGGCTTAGACTTTTCCTACAATTGGGTGAACGAAAAAGGAAAAAGAAAAAAAAAAAGGGTGTGCGGTTCCAGTGCGGCAGAGGACAGCTGAAACAGTGTTTAGACACACGCGGAAAAGGCCCTCCCACCGGCGAGTCACTGTGATGTCATAAAGAGGTGCCACAAGCGAACAATAACAGCGCAGTACAGTAAAAAGAAAAGAAAAAAAACGAGTAGAATGAATGACGTGTGACAAATGTGAGCAAGGTTGAGATGGAGCTGCCTCATGCACCTTTGGGAGGAACAGGGCGATTCACGCGGTGAGCTGAGCTCAGGTGGGCATGCGCTCTCGACGGGGAACAGGGCCAGCTCTGCCTGCGTTCCATAAGCCACCCATCAACCTTTCCTCTCGCTCAAGATTGGGGTTAACTAAGCAGGCCGTCCGGTCAAAAGCTGCCCTACAGGCTCCCATTGAGGACAGATATGTGCATGCATGCATTCTATGTGCAGTATTGCAGGCCAAGATGATTGTAACATTATCAAATACAAAACAAACTGGTTTCATTACGTTTAATGTCAGTCACTACGTCAGCGTTGGAACAAAGACATGCTCACCTGTGTGTGTGTGTGTGTGTGTGTGTGTGTTTTATGAACTCACACACTTATTGCATTGCACACGCACACATTAAATGATTTTCTCACAATTCTTCCAGTCTAACTGGCACTTTCATATGGCTTTTAACAAGAGCTTCTTATCAAACACAAACTTGCACGCGAGGAGTAATACATCTCTAATGGCTCATGCACCATTAATCTGTACTCCAGCTCTCATGTGTGAACGCATATTGTGCACATATACACAGTCAACTGGCTTGAAGCGAAATGTCAGCCATTTTGCCAGTAAAAGGCCAGTTTTGAGTGCTGACAGGCTGCGTCTTCTAGCAAGACATCACACGCAGCTTCTATTGTTGCTTTACAGTGTTATGGCTTGATTTTATTATGACTTGTCAAAACAACATATGCTGCACAAGAACTTTTTGATTTGTTATCCATTGATATTTTATTTCTATGTGCAACGTTTTCTCTTCAATGACAGCATCATAATGTAAACAGCTAAAAAAAGCCCACATTTCAGTTAAAGAGGGGGAAAAAAACGTTTGACAAATGTTGCCCTCTGCTATGTTATAAGATTAAAACTAAGTATAAATAATAAGTAATATTACAAGTATATTACAAAATTAAATATGTTTGAAATGTGCTAAATAAATAAATTGTGTATTGTAAAAAAAATATGCATATTTTTACAATATATCTTTGTGGCATATTTTAATGACTAATTATGAGTGGGTTTTTTTTCAGTGACGTCAATTAGCCTGTATGCATAGCCTATAAATATACATGGCCCCGGAAAAATCATGGACAAAAAAAAAAATCATGGACAGTCTCGTCTCGTGTATGGCGGGAGATGGCCTATAGAATCACCAAGAGTCGGATCCGACTGAAATTATTAATGAATTAATGAATGCATATATTGTCGGTCGAACCCAGAACATTGTCAACATTGTTTTTCGTGACAGAGCAAAGGCCTCGTTTGAGTTCATTATTGATTCGACGTAACTCCAACTGTAGATGGTTTCAAAATAATTCATATTTGATTCCAATATTATTATAAATATATTACACAAATGACACAATCTTTTCCCCCTAACGTTACAATTTAATTTAAATTTAAATGATTTTACCATTGCAAAACGGTTACTAATGGTTCAAATAAATTACAGAGAGAGAGAGAGAGAGAGAGAGAGAGAGAGAGAGAGAGAGAGAGAGAGAGAGAGAGAGAGAGAGAGAGAGAGAGAGAGAGAGAGAGAGAGAGAGAGAGAGAGAGAGAGAGAGAGAGAGAGAGAGAGAGAGAGAGACTGTATCGGGCGAATATGGGCGCCAGAACAAACTAATTTCTCTGTGAAACTTTACTTAAATATCGTATAATAATATATCAAAGGCAAAGTTTGTACTTAGTGGTTGTAAATAAAACCACAGATTATTAATGTTAAATTAGAAAGCATTAAACTCTCGTCGAAAATGAATGAATGGCCTAATATTATGAATCAGGCTCTTGTAATACCTGCGTTTATGGCCACTTGATTCGTTCACTAATATCAGATGATCCAGTCGCCAGATGGGGGGGTTGTCCCTTACTCGGACCACACATTAACCTGTTATAATATCGTTTAATTAAACATAATTATGGCTATGACATTTGATTGCACTGAGGTATGAGAAATAATTAAAAGCAATGACCGTCGGTGTCTTTTAAAAACGTATAGCCTTTAAGAAGCTTCTCGGCGATTCCTGCTATTTCTTTTGATACTGACGACACGGCAAACTCTTGAGTTAGGCCTAAAATAAAAATAATAATTTTGCAATGTATTAATATTACATTATTTGCGTTTTAAAAAAAATAGTTAGGACATATGTTTAAAAAGGAATAGCCTATATGGGGGGGGGAAACAATGTAGGCTACATTTAAATAATAATGCATTATGCTATAATAATAATAATGATTATAATACACTTAGTTATATCCTCTGTATAGTCTCTTTGTCATTTCAATTAAAATGAATGCAGATAAATTTGAAAATGTAGGCCTATTATGCATTCGTGAGCAACTGAGCTTATTGTGAACGCGGGAGCCCGTAGACTCAAATAAACATCATAACTCAATGATATCGCACACAGATTGAATGCAGTCATAAAGTAAATCTGTCGAATATAAATCTGGAAGAGCAGAACGCTGGTGAGCTATTCAAAGGAACGAAATGAATTATAAGTTATAAATGAAATAAGGAAAGCACAGAACAGCCTGCGCCATATCAATAGTCTTTAATAAGCGCTTGTTTTAGAAATTGAGATCAGGCCCTCAAACACAAAAACGAAACTATAATATCTCTGAGAAATGCACAATAAATACCTTGAAATGTAAATAAAAGAAGGTCTGATAGGCTATATTGAATACTCGGGAGAGTTGTCGTGTCACTATACTGACCTCCAAACACAAAACCGAATTAATTTTGAATGACCAGCAACAAAACACGAAAAACGACAGTCTGAATAGCGATTCTCATGAGTCTCGTGCGCTACAGAAGTCTGGAAGTGTGCATGACAAAATACCGAGGCCCACATTTCTGTCCCAAAACAAACTGAGTAGTAGCCTACCTATGCTGTTCTCCCGGCAATATGAATCAACAGGTCACCAGGCCCACGCGGGCTTATGTTCAGATACTAAAATGTCTTCATATTTTAATAAACGTCGTTGAAACATATAAGGTGGACATTTTCAAAACTGCGCAGTGTTGTTTCATACTATAGCCCAGGCTATCTTAAAAATAAATTCATTTTTATTTATTATTTTCCTCTGGAAACATGTTAAAAAACATAACCTCGTAACATTATACTTCATTAATAAACTTAAATAATGCTGCAATTGAATGTTGTAATGAAGCCTTTTCTAATAAACTGTGCACCGAATGCTATAGTCGCATGCAAAAAGTTTGACGGGCACTCAATGAAAGAAAGCAGTTTGACTGTGAAATCCTACCTATTACAAACAAGTCGGAATACAAAAGAAAGCCAAACAAACAATAAGCAAAGACATCGTGCCGAGTCCAGAGGAGATTTACACACTTTTCCTCGAGTCCAGAAAACAGCTGACTCTATTTTCTTCAAATACGCCATAGCCTATATGCATTATTGATTTGCCATTGCCGAGCCGCAACAGACCCCAGAGGACAAGGATTCCTAAACGCAACCTCCTAATTTTAGATTATCGGAAGAATCGTCCCGTTTTTGTTTCATATTCCTTCTTCCATGACATCCAGTGTGCAGGCAGAAAGCTCTGGAGATCTCCACACTCGGTCTGTGCGTCCTGGGGTCCATGAGCAGTGCTACAGCGCCCACTATTTCAACAAGCAGGAATATGATTTCACAAGACCTGGAACCACTCAATAAAAAAAAAAGTTACTATCCCTTTCGACAACTCTCCGCTAACTTTCGTGTAACAATTCTCTACGGTTTCTCGACCTCGCTAAAACACGAGAGGGGAACAGCACGGCGTGGAAACGCTCTCCTGGTCAGCCAAAGCACCATCACAAACGAAACTTCTGAACAAGCACGCTACGGCAGCATCTGGTTACGCGCGGATCACGGAGAGTTTGAGCGATTTCAATGCAATTGAGAGCTGAAAAACAAACGCACCGGACAAAGACACGCTCTCAGCAGGAACTGATCAATGAAAATGACACTTTGGTGATGTGCGCAAGGGTTCAAAGTACCGCGCGGCCGCTCAGGAGCGAAAGAAGCGCAAGAAGGACCTACTTTTGGCCAGTTTTCTCGCCCTCGCCTTGGATCTCATCTTGTCGGCTTGTAGATTCCTCGCGTCCTCCTTGAGCTCAGAAGCAGCAGCAGCGCTATCTTCATCTCACGAGCATTGTCAGTTTGGACACCTTCGCACATGCGCACAGGCCATTCAATCTGACACCCTCGTCAGGGCCAAAAACTTTCCAATGTATTCATCATCATCACTTTTTGTCCTATCGTGTCTCCTTTAGATCACTTATCTCTTTCCCTCCTCCTCCACTCACTCCGCAACATCTCGGATCGCCCCCCACCTCCCGTTCTTGAGCTCCTGAGGAGGAATAAGTGCTATTTTTCAGGGACCTGCGGAATTCGGTACGACACTGGACATTGAATCCTGGATGGGGTCAAGGTCGCAGCCCTCATACGCAAGGTGATCACGAACATTTCATGCACCCGACGATTTTAAAGCATGAAAATATTGTTGCAAAATATGTAATTATATGAAGGATATTCCTTCATAAAATAAACGATTTAGGTATAGTATTCGTGTTGTTCATAATCAGAACGTTCAATTATATGGACGTTCTCTGGGGCATATTACTCATTTTGTAATAGTAATTTATTGTGAAAGTCACTGTACCTGATGTGGATGTAAGAACATTTGTAAGTGCCTCATATTTAAATAAAAAAAACTATTAACATTATTAATTTAGGTGCGTTCTATAAATAGGTAAAAGGTGTGTTCAGTTTCAATGTTGCTATTGAGAGCCACCCGAGTCTCCGCGCGCTAGACTCCAGACGGCCAGGAGCTCCCGCGTGCGTGCGTGCATGTGTGTGTGTGTGAGAGAGAGAGAGGGAGAGCGAGAGAGTGTGTGTGTGTGTGTGTGTATGTATGTGTGTAATGTAAAAAGAGTAGAAATACTGTATGTATGAGTGAAAGCGTGGGATCCGCAGAGATGGTATATTCATATAAACTCTCTCGAAACAATGCATTCTGGGTCTTGTTTGGGTTTTAGGTCTCGATTAGGTTTTGTATACATCAGTATTTGGTATATACAAATACATGGCAGTTTATGTGCAGGTAAAGCAAGCAGGGAACGACAAGGCAACCGGTTCACTCATGTAAGTATGATTCTGTTGAATTATTTGTTTTACGTATACTAGGCTATGTGTACATCTAAACTGCATGTGCACAATCATTGCATTTTAATGGTCATTGTAAGACTGTAGGCGTGCTGTCAGAATCAAGCCTCATAGCAGGCGCAACATTTTCTGCATTTGGCACTTAATATAGATCCTGCTAGACACATCCAAACATAGTGCGGAAAGGTACTGTCGGAAATGATCCGGATTGAAAACTCAATAGCCTAAATATTTACATTATTTTGCATTATTAAAAACTATAATCCAGGCTGCCGGGTTTTTTTCCACAATCTAATGTAATTCTATATTATTATTTGTATTATTATTATTTATGAATTGTTTTTGGAAATCATAGTACAATATTAAGATGAAGGATAGTAACCTGACAGTTATGTATTATTTCTCTTTGTAGTTAGAAGAGCATTCTGCAGTAAACGGGTGTCGTTTTGTCATGAGATCCCGTGGGAGCTCGTGAGCGCATGCAGGTGTCTTTAAGACATTTAAAGCAGCCATTAACAGTCATGCATGTCCACTAACTTTGAGGTTCGCTGTCAGTCTTTTTCCCGTTGATATCATTCCCGAGCTATAGGCATTATAGGTTATTCTTTTATATGAGGATATTGGATAAAGAGGATTTAGAGGTCCAAGCTGCTTCCGTATTAAAACCAATAAATATGATTGTAAACATGGGTACATAAGTATATTGTGAAACATGTCTAAAACAATGCTTTTTCTCAAATCAATGTTTTAGGCCGAATGAGGCACGTAACGTTTATGTATGCGTAATTATCGGTGGATTGGCTTTTGAGAGCCTATTTCATGTTTTAATGAAATAATAATTTGGCTCATCTGCTTTTGGCGTGTTCAAGAGGTTTAACAAGCCAAAATGCTTTAAACAGTTTTACATATATTAAACCTGCCGTTACCTGCTCTGAAGGAAGAAGTGATCTTGTTTCTAAGTCTCCACTGACGAATTGACATTTATTGGTTTATTGATTGACTCCATATTAAACGTTTTATCGGTAAAACCTTCTCTTGTCAAGACATATGATACGATACGAAACACATATTGCCATTAAATCGGATATGTGATATAGATACGAAATTTCATTGTTTACTTCTTTAAACAATGCTTTTTCTTAATTACCCATAAATTATATTTGATCACGAGATGTACAGGTGTAGGCTATTAAAAAAGTGACATTATTGTGTTGAATTATTAATTATGATAAAGACTTATTATTAATATTTATATCATTTAGCTCATAAAATGTAACTGATGTTTTATTTTAGAGCGAGCAAAGATGACGATACACAGATCTATATATAAAAATTGTGGACTTTTTTCTTTAGTAAAAGCATGCTATTTGTCCATTCCTTACACAATAATTCAAATGCAAATCTCTCTCGCACATTGGGCTGGACTTTTATTTTCATATACGGAGCAACACCTTTGTGAAGGCATTTAACTGTAATTACACTTGTAAAGAAAAGTGTTGCTCCTCATCACTAGCTCATTGGGGAATAGTTTTCTGCGTCATTTAAACGTCTGCCTTTTTACAAGCTCCTGGAAACGTGATGGCTGTAACCACGCATTTGGACTATTTTCTTTCCAGATTGTTGCCATTTTCCTGTGGTTTAGCACAGGAAGGGAGGGATGCTGGCCCAGACCCCGGAAGAGAGGTGTTCTGCAAACCAGGCCTCAGGAACATCCACACTGAGAAGTGATGCCAGTCACAGAGTTTTTGTCATCTTAATTAGTTGAGGACAGTATTCAAGAGGTTTGTCAACAATATATATATAGACTATATATACTGTATATATATATAGAGAGAGAGAGTGGTACGTGTATTTTTATTAACTTCACTAAGTCAAATAAAATGTATACAGGCACCATTGTCTCGCTGTCATTGTGTTCAGTCTAATTAATTCTAATAAGACTTCAAAATGTAAAGTGTTTTAATACAATATTTTGGGTTAAACTTACAAAAAGCCATTTTAACAAATTAGGAAGTTTTTTAATTTTTTTATTGTTACTTTTATTTATGAGGTGACACTGTAAAAAATACATAAGATCAATATGTTATAACAACATATGTTTTTACATTGCTTTAACTAATCAAAAAAAATAAGTTATAGCTACAAGATTCAACTAATTTTTTTAAGTCAGCCTTATTTAATTTTAGTTGAAATGACTTCGATCCAAGTTGATTGTAGGCTAAGTACTTTTAAAAATTAAGTCAGCAAAAAAAATTGTATTTTTGGGTACAACAGACTGCAACAATTTATACCGTCATTAATCTGCACACATCGTTTAACTTCACCATGCATTTATTTGAACAAAAATTATAACTACTATTAATAGCCAGCTAATAATAAAAACAATAGTGTAAATACCAAAGAAGTAAAAACAGATATAAAAATGCAATACTATTAGGCTGATACAAATAATATAATAATAAATAATGTTTAACCGTTATAAATAAAACTGATTAGAATTAGATGGATGAGATAAGTCTCTGTTGTTATTGCTATACGTTCGTCGAAAGCAAATGAAACCAAATCTTTATTCATGGTAGGAAAGGGCTCGGCTTATGTGTTACGCACTGATAGGATCTCACCACACTCAATATGTGAAATGATATCCAGCCAGCAGTGGCCACAGTCGGAACACACGGGGGGGGGGGGGGGGGGACCCACTTGTTGCGACAACTACGCCTGCGCTCTGATCTTTACATGCTAATACAGTGGATGTAATGGCAAAGTAAACACAACTTCATGATGACGGGGCTTCAGGCAAGTTCCCTCACTCTCATTGTACACGCACTGGGTGTGTGCGTGCGTGCGTGTGCGTGCGTGTGTGTGTGTGTGTGTGTGTGTGTGTGTGTGTGTGTGTGTGTGTGTGTGTGTGTGTGTGTGTGTGTGTGTGTGTGTGTGTGTAAGGAAAGAGGGAAATCAGAAAATTGGCAAAGGTACTCAATGGCTGTAACAAAACATGATCAAAGAAGGCAATAGTGGTGGTTGCCGTAAACACTTTGAGAATGGAGAGGTGAGGCAGCGTAAACAGTGAAAACAAGCGTGCGCATGTCAAACACTTACAAAAGCTGTTTTACAGATTACAAGTGACTTAAATATATAGGCTATTATATATGTGTGTGTGTGTGTATATAGGCCTATATATATATATATTCCACCGCGCGCATTTAGAGTGGTGGCACGCCTGTGCCCTTATAACGTAAGGCGCTTCACAGCTAATGAAACCGCGAGAGCAACTACCTACAGTTAAGTTCCCTGGGTAATTATTAGCCATTAATTGGGTTCAAGACCTTGGGAGTGTATGGGAAATAGGAAATCTGACCACTAATCCTAGACAGACTTTTTTTTCCTCCGTTGTCCCTCGTTCAAAGCGAAGGTCTATACGGGCTTAATGCACACACAACCTACAAACAGGATCTAAACATGCAATATAACCTGATCCATACATAACCTTCAAACAAATGATCTCAATATCCCAACACATTATGTGCATATACAACATAACACATTACAGTAGGCTACAGCATTACCAAAGACATTTAACCTATCGTCAAACACAACATATCACAAACTAATCCACATTTGACCTACAAACACTTTTTTTCCCATATAAAATAATGTAGGCTACATCTCATACAAATACATAACCCAATGCAATAATTTATTGCGAGTTAAAAAAGCTGTTTTTAAAACTGACATGTTTGTAAAATTGATAAGCGCTTAGAAATGTCATTCCGCACAACAATTATCAAAATTAGCATTTTCATGTCGTGTTTTATAGAGTCAAATTAAATAATAGGCTACAATGATTTTGTTTGCATAATAACAGTGCTTTAAATTAACAACAGTGTAACAGCTGTAAAATAGAGCACAGCCCCATCCATATGATACATAAGCCACAAGTCTTGAATAAGCGGCATATGGCATGTTACATTAATTATGCTGCAATGATTCGCCCGCTTTCATCGCGCATCTTCATAACCGCTTGTGATTAATTGCGCTGGAGGAAATTGCGTTGAGTGCTTTTCCTGTCAAAATCCCGTCTCGGAAAGGTAAATTTCGATGTTGTCGTTGTTATTGTTGTCATCCCTGCAGATGAAAAGAGACGGAGTCTGGAGACTTCATGGAAACGCACATGTGAGGATCGCCCGAGGCAAGCAAAAGAAAATTACCCCGTGCAGAAACGACCCCTAATATGATGTGATCAATCACTCTGTCTGCGGGAACACCACAGTCTCTTTACATCCCAAATATGTGCTCATATATCGGCAAACAGGAAGATGATCAAATCATCTGATTTCTGGTCTCTTGATATGCTTGGGTCAGTGCAGGTGTGCAAACATTGTACAGACACAAGTGGGATTTATATGTGATTTTTACAACAACAACAACAATAAACAAATAAAAAATATTTATGTATTTTATTTATATTAAATATATAATTTATATATTAGTATTATTATTAATAAATACATTTAAATTAATATAAATGTTCGAATACAAATACATTAATTTAATAGCAATACACCCATCAATAATAATATACCTAACCCATCTGTTCATTTTTTTTTATTCACTCTTAATGTTTTTCTTCAGCCTGAAGTAGTATTCAACATAGCCTATTCAAATTATTAATTCGTTGTACTTTCTAATAATTCTGCTACAATTTTTTTTTTATGATGTTACAATCGAATTCAACATGTTTAAGATGAAAACACATGTCAGTAAAATTAGATCGATACGAATCCCATACAAACTCTTTAAATGAGTAGCTATGCTATTGTTATACTATTATGGTCTTTGTTTAGGCATCATTATTTTTGGTTACACTATTTTTAAGTGACGTAAAATAAGAACGGGGTAGCCTAATTTTAATTAACTAGCCTACATATATTTTAGGGTCAGTTACTTGTAACAATGAATCATTACTGTTATTACTATACTAATTACATCTAACGTGTAACTACGTTACCTTAAAATAAAGTGTTACCTTATTTTTTTTTTATCATTATATCAACATTAATCAATTAAAGACACAGGTAAAATATTGTTATTTTACACACTATAAAATAAAGATGTCCACGAGAGCCACCGCGACTGTGTCATGCGACAATTTTCAATATTCCCCCAGGGCCTTTACTGTGGTATTCTGATGACCAGGGCTAAATGAAAAGGTTAATTAATCATTTATTACATTTAAGAGCTGTGTGTTCAATAACATTCTGTTTTTGCTCAATAGTACACACGGGGTAAATGGCTGAAGGGCATCAGCAGAAGTCTCGGGAATAAACTGCGTCTGTCAATGGTGCGTGACGGGACACATGATGTTTGAAAATCTAAGCGCACTCACACAACTCGCAAAGCTTGATCGATCAAACACGTTTTGGCATGAATCGGCGATTTCAACTCGGATGTGCCACTCTAGCAGAAGATAAGAGACACATCTACACAATTTGAGCTTTTATGAATAAAGGGTAACAGTTTATTTTTACAGTGTCCTTGTTACATATTAACAGTAAAGCATAATTACATGCAACTAACCCTCAACCAAATCCTAATCCTACCCTACCCCTATAGTAAGTACATGTAGTTGCTTAATATTACTCAGTACTTAAATATATAATTACACTGTAACAATAAAGTAAAGTGTAACCCTTCATTATAGGTGTCATTGTTACAGCGTAATTATATATTTAGGTAGGCCTACTCCGTAATATTAATTAACAACATACTTACTATAGTGTTAGTGTAGGATTAGGGTTTGGTTAAGTGTTAGTTGCATGTAATTTTGCATAATTTACTGTTATTACTATGGTAAGTACATGCATGTAACAAGGACACTGTAAAATAAAGCGTTACCAAGTTTACTTTTCATGAGGTAAAATTGCTGCCTTTCTGTGCACAGCGGGTTTAGTTAAACAACTCAGTAATTAATGTTCTTGAAACCCTTCCAAACCCGTTCATTTTTTATTTATAGATACACACATGTATAGCCTACACTTATTATAGGCTATATCTATAACATAAGGCTCGGCAGAGGGGGTTGGTTAAATGTCTGACGTATGAATGGCAACATTAATTAATTTAAACACTAACCAAAAATCAAAGTCCCCCTAATGAATTCATTGCTCAGGCTGAGTGTTGACTTTGACTTGCAGATGGGACTGCCCGAGTGGCTCATAAATGGAAGAGAGCAGGTTTCAGTGAAAGACCTCTCAGTGTTCCCCTCCTCTTTCTCATCAGCCCTTCCTGGAGTGACTGTGCATAGTTTCCTTTTGATTAGGACCATCTCCTCACCAGACGTCCCAGCAAAATCAACACATTTGTGCTTTTGCATACATGGAGGCCCCAGAGTCATGACAGGAGCTAAAACATCATTAGGTCAAGCGTGGGAAGGTGTAGTATAAATAAAAAAAAATGGTGGAATTGTGTACTGCTGAAGAAGGCCTTGTGGTGATTTAGGTAGGCAGAACTAACATTTTCTCCATTTCTCATATGTTGTTTGGGGAATAAAAGAAAAAAAAAGAACCAGTTTGCAGTCGTTAAAGGGCTTTCACAACAGAGAACCCCATGCACATGAGCTTGTGAGGGAACGTCATGACAGTTGACAAATATGTAACGAACACAAAGAATACCAAACCAATGCAAATACCAGTGAGACATGCCCTCAAACACACTCACACAAAGACACCAACAAACACACACTCTCGCAGTGGTAAATCACTCTTATTGTCCCTCGTTTAA